ATATATATTTATATTTTTTAATTAGTTAATAACAATAGTAATTAAAGTAAGTTTAAATTTAATTCAAAGAAATTAGTTATTAGTTTAATGTTCAGGTGATTTTTTTTGTAAAAGGATATAAAGAAGTTTATTTAATAACACATTTTGATTATTTTGGTCCCTTCTTGGAAATTTTTGAGTGGCTTGTATACAGTAAAACCTTCATAAACTGGAATCACACACTATAAAATATTTTTTCCAAATATTTTGGTGTATTTGTTTTGAACATGATTTTTTCTTAACATAGAAAATCACTCTGTTCCAAAGAATTTTTTCCATTTAGGTAGATTTTTGTTTTATTTGGATTCCATTTTGGACAGGTTTTACAGTATATATATTTAAATTTAATTGAATTGTTAAATGAGATATTGTATTTGAAACTGAAGAGCAACTAGAGGTCAGATAGCATAATTAATAATATACCTGTGTGGTTTGCAGGGGGTTGCCAGTAATCCAGCATTTTGATTTTGTTTATTCATGTATAATAAGATGTTATTACAGTAAATCCTGTTTATAATGGAACTTCAAGAGACTGAACAACTCTTCTGTAGTAGACAGGTTTCCACTATATACAGGTTACCTACTATAGGTATTCCTTGATTAATGTGACTAATGAAACTTTGATGTACATGGTAATATTGAGAAATTTATTAATCAAATACAGTGGTACCTCAGTACTTGACCGAACAATCATCACCTGCTAGAACAAATTTTCGTTTAATAAGAAATATTTTTATTTTAACTAATTTTTTCATTCATCTATAAAAAAGTTCTCTAAGATAAAAACGAGTAACCAATTTAAAAATAAAATAAAATCTTACAGCTGTCTACCTTTGTCAGACAAAATTATACTCAATTTCAGTTTGTTTTTTTTCATAAGTGACAAAAAAAACAAACTGCTTATGAAACACAATTATCAGCATGTTTTACTACCATTTCAAGTGAATGAAGTGTTTCAACAATACGTGTCTGTGACGCACTAAGATTTGGTGCAAATTCATGAGTTGTTATTCAACAATCTTTAACAACTTCCCACAATTTCTCTTCAACAGCTTTTGGGGACTCATGCATTTTATATCCTTTAGTTCAAAATTTCCGGAATGATACTTTCAAAACCACATTTGACACATTCATCTTCTCCATATACAGTACGAGTATTTTTTACTGTTTTTTATAGCATGATATCCTTTAAGAAACTTAAAAAACATGCATAATATGCCCAATGTGCATTTTATCCGCAGACATTTTGACTTGATTTTATTCAAATGAAATGTGATGTAAAAAAGTTTAAAATAAGATTCAAACCAAAGAATACAATCTCACATCAGGAATAACGTGTTAAATTTTTATATGTAAAAACAGCTGTTAATAAAAATACTTTGTTTAAATCTCAATAAAATTACTGTAGTACAGTAGTCATATTTTGCTATTCTGAATTGCTGTGTATCTTTTGACTTTTTTAATGATTTTTACATTCTAGGCTTGTAAACTTCTTGTTAAATTTGTGTTAAATTGGATAAAGACATTGATTTTTCTGTTATACGGCCCAATTTTCCTTTCCATTTTCGCATTGGACAGGTTCCATTATATACAGGTTAACTTACATTACTTTTTGCAAAAAATACACTGGTGGAAATTGAAAGTGTTACACCCACCCAATATTGTCGAAGACATATGAAATTGGGAAAAAGAATCTCTTTTTGAAGGATATTGAATGATCAAAAATTAAATGAAGTACATACAGTGGTATGGAAATTATGGAGACATTTGTTATGCAAAATTGCTATAGTGTTTAGTTTATAATTTGTGAACTGTGTTATGGAACATGACTTTTTTTGGTCCACATGTTGTTGGTGACCAGCTATGCCATATCGACGAGTGAGAACTCCATACACCCAAATATCTGACTTTGAAAGAGGTCAGATAATTGGCATGTCAGAAATGGGAGTATCATATCGTGAAATTGCCTGAAGTACTGGCCATAGTGCAATGTCAGTACAAAGAGTGATCACATGGTGGATGCAGGAAGGGTCCAGTACTCACAGACCTGGCACAGGTCCACACAGAAGGATGATGCCACATGTAGACCACCATATTTTGCGGATGGCAGTTGCTGACAGATGTGCGATGGCAGCACAGATCCGAGCAGTAGTTACTGCCATAATCACCCCATGGACAATTGTAAACCGGTTGCTTGATGCTGGGCTGAGATTGCGGACCCCCATGCAATGTGTTCCCTTAACCAGATTTCATCGCCAACAACGGCTAACGTGGTGTGCTGCTAGACGTAATTGGACACATGAATAGCATACAGTTGTGTTTAGTGATGAATCCTGATTCTGTTTAGACCAATGTGATAGTTGGCAACATGTCTGCCGGCATGCTGGAGAAAGAGCCCACTCTGCTGTGATTTCAGAATGCCACTCAGGTCCAACTCCTGGTCTCATGGTTTGGGGGGCAATCAGTTACAACAGCAGGACTGAGTTGGTGGTTGTTGAAGGCACAATGATCACCTGCCAGTATGTGGACAGGGTGATCATCCAGTAGTCATACCTTTCATGAACACTACCCAAAGCGGTATCTTCCAACAAAATAATGCCCATCCTCATGGTGCTGACATCACATGACAGGCCTTGCAAAGTGTTGCAATCATGGATTGGCCCGCCCAGTCTCCAGATTTATCTCTATAGAGCATTTCTGGGATGCCATGGATAGATGGATTACGTCTCATAGCCATCCAGCGCGCACTGTATAACAACTGATTGCACAAGTTGTGCAGGCATGGAGAGATATAACCCAACAAGACATTCAAGCACTTATTGTTTCAATGCCTGCAAGGATCCAAGAGTATATCCATGCTCAAGGTGGCCATACCTCTTACAGAAACATGTACCAAACAGCAATAAAACTTCGTGTAATTCATTTCATTTTGTGTTCATTTCTTCTGCGTATGCCCCTGTACATGTTTACCAAGTTTCATGAATTTCTATCAATTCCATCTAGGTGTAACACTTTCAATTTCTGCCAGTGTATAAGGGATCAAAGAAATTTTCCATTAATGACATGTTTTCGCTCTATACAGGTCCTGTTATAGACAGGTTTGACTGTACTCGCATTTAAATAAAATAGAGAAAAAAAGATTTTTATTAATATTCAAAATAATCAGTTTAATTAACTAATATAATTTTTATTCCACATTAATTTCAAATAAAGCTGAATCCCTTAATGTTCTATATTATAAAATTTGATATTTGTTTTTTATTAATCAACATTGCAGGTCATCTTTTGTTTGAGATGGCTGCTGGTTATGAACTCAATACTCCTTATCCAAAAGAAAAGAATTACAGGGATTTAAATCATTGTCCACGGATTATTAAAGTAAGAATTATTTTAATAAATTGATACTATCTCTAAACCCATAATAAACTAATCAAGATAATTTTGTAAAGAATTTTTTAATATTTTCTGATATCTGTGATTCCATTATTACAACTGATGTCAGAAATTATTGCAATTCTTAATTTTAATATCACTTAGAAGAAACACTAAAATATTAATATACTTTTTATAATTGTTGGAAGTTTTTAACATTTTGCATATTGAATTGGATGAGAGCCTCAAGATAAAATTGACCATGCTCCCACACTCCCACACTGTAAGAAAAAGGAAGAAATGTGAAGACACTTTAAATTTATTTTAGTGTTTTTTTCTGATTTTTTTTTTTATTTCTATGTCTAAATATCTTGTTAATTGTTTATTAAAGGATCATTTTCAAAAAATTAAACATTGTAATTTTTCAAAAATTTCTGATAAATACTTTTCTAGCGATGTCAGTAGTAACAAGTAATTAAAAGAAATATGTGAATGTTTATACTTATTACAATTATTACAAAATTTTTTTAAAAGAATAAAATGCAAGAAAAAAGAATAAATGTTTTTAATTATCTCATTTTTCATATTACTCTTTAAATGAAATAGCTAACAAATAAGTTAATTGGCCTAAATTTATAAAAGTCAAAATAATTTAATCTTTCTTAATGTAGCAGATTAATCTCAAAAACATTAGTAGTTAATTTAAAAAAAAAGTAAAAATAGAATAAAATAATAAATTTGTCTTTTTCTCTAAATTAAAGAGTAAAAAATTTATAAACAAAGTTCTTTTAAAACAATAATGATTGTTTTTTCAGGTCTTAAAATTTATTTTTAGACAAGAAGGTATTCATTATCCTCTTATACAAGAAGTAAGTTCTTCATTCATTACTTTTATATATAAGAGGCATGTCATTCCAAAGTGCATTGCATCCACATTAATACTTTATTGAATATGAAAAATGAATACAAAGCTGTAAACTCGACAATGCTAATATTGATTTAAAAACTAACGTGTAGCATAAGCCTGTTTTTGAATGATGAAAATGTTTTATTACAATAGTTTCTTTTTACACTAGAAATTTTCCTTTATAAAAATTTTTCAAAGTGGATAAGATGCAGTTTGGAATGACGAGCTCATTAAGGTTGATGACTTTCTGCTATAGGACAATGCATGGACATTTATAATAAAGTAGTTTGTTATAAATATTTGTTGATTAACAGAAATTAATTATATATGCCTGTAATTATAAAATATTTAAATACTCAATGTTAAAATTATTGTCAATTGTTGTCCAATATCAGCTTAGTCAACTCTTTAAATTTTATTTTCTTGTTCTGATTAATAATAGTGTCTTTCTCTTTCTATTACACTAGTGCAGGGATTGCAAACTGGTGGCCCATTAAGACTTCATATCTGTCCTGCAGCCTTGATGATTTCTTATCTAAAAATAAATGTTTCTAACATCTTGCAGGGATTAAAACAAAAAAAATTCAAACATTTAACTGTATATGTAAGCTGTAAAGGACTGGCCGCAAAAGGTCGTTTCTTAGAACTCTTTTTTAAATTACAGTATGCTTTGGTTTATCGAATAATATTGAACTCTATTTGACTGGCCCTTTGCTGCATTTGAGTTTGAGTCCCCTACATTAGTAATTAATAAAGATGAAACTACTACTATTTAGCATAAGAAAATAAAATATTGAAATGTCATCTGCTGGTAATATTTCAGTGATAATGAAGTAAAACTGTCAGAGTATTACAGGAACACCATCATATATATGGTTTGTTGTTAAGCAGTGCGTACTATTTATATATATTTATAACTTAGCATATTTTAAAATGAAGTTCATAATTTGCCCTTATAGGTAAAATGCACCTAAATTAAAGTCCTGCAAAAATATCAATAGAAATGATGGAAAATTAAATATATAGTAACATAAAACAAATGTCTTAGTGAAAAAATATTTATTATAGTTAGGTTAAGAATAAATTTTAAAAATGTTTGTTTCTTGTTGTCATTCTCTAAAATATGGTCAATAAATTAAACTCGGAAGAAAACTACAAGGTGTGGCTAGAAAATAACGAGACTGAAGCTGGTACTTTAAATCTTAAGTAGTATACTCACTTTAGTTGTGTTTCCTTTCAATGTATGATCCTTCTGTTTCCACACAGTGCTGCATTCATAACTTCCATTGATCATAACAGTGCTGCAGGTCATCATCTGTAAGGCTATGCAGAAGCTCCGTCATTTTTTCTTGACAGCAGAAATGAAATCAAAATTGTGTCCCTTCTGAGCAGATTTGGACTTTAGGGAAAAGGTAAAAGTCACATGGAGCTAGGCAGGCGAGTACAGTGGGTGTTTAAGTAGTGTGACTCCCTTGGCCAAAAACTGTTTCACGACCGAGCAGGATGAACTGGTACATTGTCCTGACAGAGGATGAAACTATTTGCCACAAGTGTTGCCACTTTCTTCTGACTCTTTCCTGCAAAGATTCCAGAACTTCTTTATAGTAGTATTGGTTTACAATTTGTTCCACTTTTTGTACATTTCCCTCAGCTTTTGATGTGCTGGGCTGTCCAGAACATTCATTGTCTTTCACATAATCTTCTGTGCCATTCAAACTCACATGCACAACAAAATACATGTGTTTCCATATGCTTCACATAGCAGGTGCAAAGATTCAGTGGCAGTTTTTCAATTTTACCAAAAATTTCAGGTTGATACACTGCTCCTCTTTCAAGCTGGTAATTTTTCCGATGCATGCTAACAACACATCCACTCGTAGCAGGCACTCAAAGCAATCTAATAGTAGTAGCAAGTTGAAACTTACTGTGCTTGTTCTAACTTGTTCAAGGTTGTTTACTCACCCACTCACTCACTCAGCTCCACATGCCACCATTGTGCAGGTGATCACAGTCTTGTTATTTTCTAGCCATACCATGTATATATTGTTTTTAATGATTAATATTTAGAGTGATTTTAAAACTAACTATATCAGTCTTCACTGATATAGACACAAAAAACTTCTTTAAAATAAAGATAATGAAAACTTGATGTTGCCCAGCTGCATATAAATAGACAAGATAGTGTAGTAAAATGATAGAAATTATAACATAACATGTGGCAACAACTGAAATCAAATCTGCTTTTAATCTGTTCTTATGTACCAGTTTGAACCAGTTATTTGCTTAATTTTATAATATTTTCTTCAGTGTCAAACCCTTCAAAACGAGAAAAAAATAATGTAAAAATATTTATACATTATCACATCTGCTCTAAACATTAATAGTTAGTAATTATTGACATAATATTTATAAATTTTAAATACTCTTGTGGGATGGAAAATCCAGAATTAATTGAAATTACAATGAGAATTTAAAAAAAAAAAAAAACTCAATATTTTTCTTCCATTTTCTTATTCCATTTTCTATTTCCAGATATCTCGGTTAGAATTTTTTAGACATATTGATTTGAGAGAACTTCGTTCACATTCTTTTCCAGTAAGTTAAATATTTAATTATAAAAACTCATTCTATTAAATTATAATTAAATTTTTACTAATTAAGTAACAGTTTACAAATAATTCAGTTATAAAATTTATTATTTCTTCTGCATACTTTCAGGCGAATCTAAGCATTTCTGCACATACACTACTCAGAGATGTTCGTTATTATCAAAAATATCACATTAGGTAAGTGTCTTATTTTTGAATTTAAAATTTCATATTTACAATCAGACTGATGGAATTATTGATTAAAATCAGAACTTCACCATTTTCTACACTATCACCGACCGAAAGAAGTTCTAATAATTATTTAAATTTAGGGGATAGGTATGTACGGCATGTTCCCCCTTAATTGTTTCTGAAATATAAAAAAAATATATTGATATCTTTTCTTAATTATTTACAGGCATCTGGACTGCACTCAATGGAGAACAGTTAGTCCATATCATAAAACTTCGGACTCTCGCACATTCTACGTTGTGTAATTTTGATAATTCCATAGTTAAAAATTCTTATTATAATTTCAGTTATATTCTATAATAACTGATTTTCCAAAAAAAAAAGACTTAAAAAAATAAAAATAAAGCACTAAAGATTTGTATTGTGTAAAAGATAGGGTAGTACAATTTTGATACAATTACTTACAAGGCAATGGGATTAAATGGGGTGTTAAAGCTGTTGCCGATCGGTTTATGGTGAATAATAATTGACAACTTGAAAACTAATCCTTTCAGAACCAGATATTTTTACCAATACGATATTTACGATATGTATGTTTTCATGTTATTTAGAGAAAATATTATTTTTATAACATGCTCATATATATATGTAATATAATATATTAAATTACTAATGTTATGTACATATTTTTTTTTTATTATTACAGAAATTCTATTCCTTTTATAATTGAGGTAAATCAAGAAATATTGTTAAAATTAACTGATTTTTATGAATCTTTTCCTCAAAGAATTAATATGAGTACAATATACCTGTAGGGATCTAACATGCTATTAATGCTCATGTTCACAATCAATTAGAATCAAGAATTAGAAGTTAACCCAATAAGTATTCTTGTACTAAAAGCAAACTTCTAACTCTAACTTTTGATTGTTGGTTATGAATTAAAGTGGAATGTTTTAAATTTCACTTTAAATATAGGTTAAATCCTTCATATCATACCTGCATTTAATCTTTGAGGCAAAAATTCATGAGGATTAGTGACATTGTTTTACTTCTATTTACTATTAAATTATGCAGCTTTGTATTTACTAAACAAAGTATTTTGCCTATTATTTATTACAATAAAATTTGCTCTATTTTATTTTAGTGACTAGTTAGTCACTAAACATTTATTTATTTTTCTTGACAGTTTCCTTTCAAATACGAATTTATAGGCCTTGTTTAATTCAAGGTAGTTATATAACATTCTTTCTGGTATAATAGCATTCCATTAAATACTAATAAGTATACAGTTCTAGTTTGAATTTGCCTATTAATGCCAGCTTTCTATATACATTATATTACATTATTTCTGATCATCATCTATGTCAATGTATAAAATAACAGGCTCTGAAATATTTTCTTATTGTTTATTATAAAATATACATATTTCTATATACAACAGATGCCTACTTTGCAATTTATACTAGTCTTAATTAAAATAGAAAATTTTTTGCTTTTAAGTTATATTTACTAATGTCAAACTGAAAATGTATGAGAAATATGGGACTTTGTTTATTGATAGTTTTATAGGAACAATTAGGTCTTAGTAGTCCCAGCTTTTTGCATTTATACTTGTGTTACATTTAGTATATTATATGTTAATATGTCATTAAGTATTATTTTACATTATCAAATTATCAAATTTCAATCACAAAATATTTTAAGTAGGAGGCAAACAGATAATACAGTAAACAGTTATTTTGGTATGAAAAGTCACCAAATGTAATTGTGTATGAACAATCTTTAGGCCGGGTTTCTGTAAATGTCAGTTTGAATTTCACATCATACAGTTTAATTTTTAGTAGGATTTTTCATTTAAAGGGATCAAGTGTTTACTACTACTTGTATGAAAAAATTTAAAGTATTGCATTCATTTTGTTAATCAATGTGCAAAAAGAAAAAGTTTCACATATCCAGTGCAGCACTTGGGACACCATATCACAAATAGCATTGTCTTCTCCTGCTCTGTAATTCAGATAGGAATAGCTGGCTTTTACTTCTGGCTATCTGTTTGAAGTAATTCATATAAAATGGTACCGTCACGAGTTATTGCAATCTGTTTAAGTTAAGGAAACCAACTTCTTCCCCAATAACAAAGTTTATTCCTTAAATTAAGCAGATTGAAGTAATTAATATATTGAATATGAACTCTTTTATAACTTATTTTTTTTATTAAACACTTTAGCAATATATAACGAAATAACAAATTTAAATATGCTAAATTAACTTTTTCTGATTGAGGAGTACCACAGTGGAATACTCCTACAGTTAGCACCAGCCATGCACATATCATATCCATCGGTATAAATTTTTATTATTTAAAATTTATACTTAGTTTTGAATGCATTTTTATATTTATATTTTACTTTTATAGTATAATTGATATATCACTTTTTATATAAATGTTTTGCTTTTACAATTATAACAACATATTTATACATTATGATGTTATATATACATACAATACAGTAATATATATAAAGTAAAATTTTATAATTTAACTTGGATTTGTCATAAAAGTATTACATAAAATACATTTTGAATTGTTGATTGGTGAACTTGAAACTATTGTTTGTGATAGTTTTCTTTATATTTGGAACTGAAATTGTTTTTGTTTACAAGAAAATATATACATATTTATTAATTAACTCTAAAATTAATATAACAATACAAAACAGTACAAGTTTAATTCTGAGTTATAGAAATGTTTTCTGTTCTCTTTTTAGTAAAAACATCTATATAAATCATCAAAAATACATATACATTACAATTTAAATCATGAGTACAGTACAGTAAAACCTGTGAAAGCCAGAATTGCAGGGACTTTGTAAAGCAACTTAAACCAGTTTTTCCATCTTAGACAGGCTCTAAATATTCAAATATGCTCACTGCTTCAAAATGCAAGCACTTTATTCATCAAGTTTCAATCTAGATATTTTTAATTCATGCATATATTCTAAATGAAACATCATACTGTTTTCTCATTGAAAATGCAGACTTTTAAATGCCATCTTGGGTAATTTACTTGCTCAAATTTGAGCTCACTCATATAACCCTGAAATATTCGACACTTTTAGTATTATGTTCTTAAAATGTGCCAATGCAATAAGTAATCAGAGCAATCTTCTCACTATTTTTAAACAAAATTGAACTTAAGCTAACACAACATATGCTTGAAACAAAGTAGAAATATTTTCTTTAATTTCTGCCAAAACTAAACATCCAGAGCAAGTTTTTTATGTGCTGTGATATTTTCTACTGGAGTATAGCCAATAGAAAAAATTTCTTGTAAAGATAAGATCTTGTGACTAGAGTGAATATCCCAATATGAAAAATGGCAATGGCATGTGTAGGATCTGCATGATGTTGAAATCTAAACTTGGCATAAGATTTAATGTATATTTTTCAGATTAGTTGAAACATGCTCAAAATGAGTAAACCTTTATATTTTATTGTTCAATATTAAGCTCTTGCTGAACATATTAACCATAGTTTGTGTACTGGTGTATTGTTAGGCCCATATCACATATGTCTTCAAAACAATTTATGAACTTATTGATGTTAATGATTTTATTTAACAAAATTAATTCCTAAAATCCATTATTATATAAGCAAAATAAATACAATAAATTTATTTCATTCCCAATGCTTTTGTGTCAGATTTTTCTATTCAACACTCATTTGAGTTCCCCTCTTAAAGATTCTAACTAATACATATTAACAAGAGGCATAACATCTTTCTATTTATGAATTGCAGATTCTGTGTTATACAGGATATTTTGTGGAAAAAATTTGATGGTATATTAATAACTTCCATTTTCTGTCTTAGGGAGGTTCCGTCTTTTACAGGCTTTACTGTAACATACTTATGCAACTTGCAGTGATATATGGCTTTACAAGATCACTCAGAGATGAGATGCAGCATTCCAATACATATAGAAGTGAAAACTTCTAAATGATTTAAAATTAGAAAATTACATTCGTGATTATAAATGACATTAAAATTCAACATTCTAAATATTTGTTCAAATAGAATGTTAATTAATATCAATTTTATTTTAAAATTATACCATCACGAATGATAAAAGATATGTCCATTAGGATCAAATTATCTGTATGTATAAGTTTCCTACATATACTGGATGATCAAATTAAAACTTTACTTGCAGATGGTAGATTTGGTGAGGCTGTGAATTAGCCATGCTTGTTGATGGCCTGCTACTTATCACAAGAAACACTTAAATCTGAACATTTATTTACTACTGACCTGAGGGATAACATTTGAAATTCTCTCACTGATATACTCCTTGTAAGTAAATTTTTCCTTGATCAAATGAAGGTTTTATATACATGTACCATATATAAGGCAGTATGGGAATTAGTCTTTGTCTATGATGAACAGGTAACAATTTTTCAGTATGGTTCATTAGCATAGTGATGATGCATCAAAGATTTAGACTGACTATTGTTAATGTAGATTTTAATACCCTATTTTGAGAAGTGACAAGAAATCATATAAGTATGTAGCTGTTTAAAATGGAAGAAAAATTTACATAATGTTTTTCATTATGTTGACGACACATGTTTGCACATCAACATAATTGGGGATACTTGACATGACATGTTACAGTTTTACTTAATATATTTGGTGGATCATTTCGCATATCAATTCTTTTGCATATATTTTGGCAACATTGGCAATTACAATGTTTGAGTCAACACTGGGAAAAGGTAACTAGAGAAATGTAGAATAACAATGGAAAAAGTATAATAATAGTTCAGTCATTCATGCTTGGAATATTAAATATGCCAAATATTCTATTTACAAATGTAAATGAATCACTTCTGAAAAATGGATTTTAAGTTTGGACATATCCTAATATATCTAATTGCTGGCATTACAAGAATATCAAATAAAAGTTTTTATATTGTCTACTGAATTTGATGTCTTTTGCTTAGTAAGGAATAGAAAACAAAAAAAATATTAGCTAGTGTAAGCACAAAAAAACTCATCTAGATTATTTATATTTTGTTGATAATTGGACAGACTAAATAAAAATAGTAATAAAAACAAGGAAATGCTAATTCCTAAAGATTTGTTTGTTTGTTAGGATGTTACGTTGTATCTAAAATAGTCATATATTGTCTTTAACTTATTTTTCTGGTGAATGTACTTATTTAGTGAAAGAAATAATTCAAATTTGAATAGGAACAGAAGTATTGGCTAAATCTCAATAATATAATGATAAGAGTTTTTCTAAAAGCAAAACATTGTTGAAAAAACATAGTAGTAACACAAGTTACATATTTAATAATCTGTTAATTTATCTGCAGGACAGCAGTGAATTATCTAGTCTTTATCGAAAATAGATTGATTGATTGGTTAATTGGCATTTAAATTTAATCAATTAATTTAGTTTTGTGTTTCAAGCTTCGAATAATTGTCAAATCATGTAATTTATTACTTTTGCACTTTAATTAAAATAAAAATAGTATGTTATGAGTATAAATGAGTCACAAGATTTTGTCTAATTATAAAATTAATTATAATTATTAATGAAATAATCATTTGAGCATCACTTCAGCAACTTTATTACTAAATAAAACATAACTTAGTTGTATATATTTTATGATTATAATCTAATTTAAATCATTTAATTAAGTATTAGTTCTTACCATTCCAATTTTTACATTCTCAAAAAATCATGTGTATGTTTCTAGAAAATATATAAAATCAAACAATAAGACATATCTGAAATGAAATTATAAATTGATAACATTTTTACTATATATTAGTAAAAATTATAATACAATCTAAACTCATTTCTTTTTAAAACTCATATAGTTTTAAAAATGCAATTGAATTTAGATTCTTATCTTATGCTATAACTATATATACTAATAACCACAAATCTTTGATCTTGACAAGAAATCATTCCTAAAAAACTGAAATATAAATTTTGTATTATTTTAAAATTTGAAAGACTTTACAATTAGATTTTCAAGAAAATATGATAGAATAGTGAGACATTTTCTTTGAGTCTTTAAGACAAAACAAATTAAAATAATGGGGGCCAAGCAAATTAATAGAATAATTTTTAAGATTGAATTCCAGCCATTATTGCAAAGAAAGAATTGTTCTCTGGTGATGGATTGAGATTTAATCTCAAATATTCATCCTATTGTTTTGCTTGGACTGTTTATAAAGATTTAAAAATATTCTTAGTCTATTTTAATTCAGTTTTATTAAATTATGCAATGTAAATTAATAAGTTTTTTTTTTGTATAAAAATGGTACTGAAAGGATTAAGTATGTATGTAATGTGTTAAGAAAAAAATATCTAATGGTTTTAATAATCAACTGCACACATTGATTAATCTGTTTCAAAATTCAAATAATAAATATTTAATTGGGCTCTGTCAAATTAAATTGTAATAAATGCTGATTAAATAGCAATTATTGAAAGTGCCAAATTTTAATTAATATCAAATTAGTTTGATAAAATTCATTGCAGACACTCAACAGAATTATATTTTAATTGGACTGGTGCATTGTCAAATCTTGTATATAAATATATATATATATAAAAAAGAAATGCATGTATGACGTATTGCATGCTCTATTTCTAACTATAATTTTAAAAAAATCGGAGTCAAATTAGTTTTCACATTGTGCTAAAATTTATATTGTTGACATTTTATGTGCCATATGCATTTACTATATTATATACATACTTGTACACTATTTATTTTGCTCATCGAGATTATCGCTCATGAATTTGTGGACCAACAATTAATTTTTTCAGGAAAAAAAAAAAAAGCAATCTTTAAATCTATTTGCATAATATCTAATGATCAGGAATATGCATTTTAGTTTTTTGTTGCTGGTTAGTAGCAAATGCATAAATTTATAATCCAGTGCATTGGTATTTTACTTTATCAATGTATTAGTGATAACTTATTGTGATAATGTATGAATAGTTAATTGTAAACTTAATGTACATATTAGTTTAAGGTGCTTCTGTTAAACTAACTGAAGATTTAAAATATGGAAATGTTATTGTTCTGTCTATGTTAATTATTTCAATATACCAAACCATACTTTATCATCATTTATTTTTTTGAATAAAGATGTTAGTATTTTACATTATGAATCAATTTAAGAATTGTAAAATTAGAAAATATTTTTCATTTTTACAATGAATTTATGTTCATACATACTCAAAAACTTAGATAAACTATACATACATTTCCATGTTTTATTTCACAAAGAAAATGTTGATGCAATTATGTATATATATATATTTAAAACAAAAAAAAAAATGTATTTTTATTCTGTAACTAGATAAATAAATCTTATAAAAATTATTCTCATTCATTTTATTACAATCGCACATATTTGTATTTTAGTTACACAGAAATGACAATATACAATTACTATGATCGATATACTTGGAAGTAATATTTTTTTCGTCGGTCAATAGTATGGAGGCCTAAAATTTGCTTCTCCAGGACCGTGTTGTAAGAGAGCCATATTTGGACTGTTTTGTGGTCCTGGTATTGATCTCGACTGATGCGGATTATGAGAGGGAGGTGGACCGGAACCCCAGGGTTGGGAATATGAACTGTCGTCGTACGAGGAGGAGGAAGGGAATCGTTGTGGTGGTGGAATGCCGTGTGACACCGAACCAATGGGAGGAGCAGAATAATTGCTCTGCTGTGGATGATGTACTGGTGGTGGTGGATTAGAATATATTGATTGGTTGGGATTGTGCATTGGAGGGGGTGGAATATGTGGTGGTGGCGGTTGATTAAAAGACTGGCTGGTCATAGATGAACCGTAAGTAACTGGTGGTACCGGAGAATATGATGATGTAGGAGAAGGATGGGGATGTTGATAATGATGTGGCGGAGGATAAGGATTTGGCGGATTTGGATGTTGCATTGGAGGAATTTGATGACTCTGCCCGGCTGCACTGGGAGGATACTGATTTGAATGTGACTGAAGACGTCCATGCTGATTTGAAGCAGTACTGTCGTCTTGAATGGGCACGGTGATGAGATTTGGACGAGTGCTAACTGCCGGAATAGTAGATGGATATGCTGCATGTATGGTGGTAGTAGGATGAGAGTATATGTGAGAAGAACGAGATGATGCCGCAGGGCTACCTCTTCCTGATGCAGAACGTGAAGAGTCTGATGTTTCTGGATGCTCTGACTGTAGATGAGCATGCATGTGTGGATTTTGAGGTGGTGTGTGGGATGGTCCGTGAACGTTGTCGACAACCATATGAGTTCTTGGATCTCTAGGATCACGACCGGCAGGTAAATGAGATGTCTTGTGAACAACTTGAGATGCTGGAATACTATTTGCTGCTTGTGCAGCATGAGTTAATTGTGCATGATTGGTTTCAACGGTAGGTGCCGGATTAGGTTTTATTAAATGACGATGATTAAAATGAGCCTATTAAAAAATTTTACAAGGTCTTTCTTAGTTACTTAGAAGAAATATAATTAAAACAATTATTTTATTGTTTACCTGTAGATCTCTTTGACTTAGATAAGTTCTTCCACAACCTGAAGTGCCATGTCTTGTACCACCAAAAGTGCATAAAAATACTGTACCCAATTTGCTTTGTTCTACCCTTGTAACTCTCTCATTACATCTAAATTATTTAAAACATAAAAGAATTAAATTGCAAGAACTTTCAAAAACTATATGTACATAGTTATTTAAAATACAGTAGAGGTCAGAATACAATGAATATATTTAGATATTAGTTATTTAGTTATATTTTAATAATTTTACTTAATAGCATTAGGAGATAGGGTAAAGTGAATAATCTTTGGGGCTACGTTGCATGATAGCATTTCAGAAATGTTGTAATATTTATTTTTACTGAACAATGTCAATCTAGACTTGGAGATCAGTAAGTGTTCCAAAAAAGACAATGTCAACTCACTAATGTAGTTTTGCCAAGAAAACTTGGACATGAGCTCAATGTCAGAGAGAGATGATGGAGCCTACTCTTACACAAGAAAGAAATGGAAAAACTGAAGTTTCTTTATCTTTCATGATCCTGTAATCATGGGCGTAGCCAGAGTTTCGTTATGGGGGGGCCTAGTGGAGGCCAACCTGACACAAAATTGAATTATTTCAAATTATTTGTTCATTATTGGGCACCGAGCAAGCCGTTCACCTTTTTTTAGTATTTAAAACTTTTATTTTAGCTTTAGGTTTTTACAAATCGACTTAACACTTTTTCGGCTGTGATTTCCTGGGGAGGGCACCAGGTTCCCTGGGAGGGGCCGTGCCCACCCAGGCCCCCCTCTCGCTACGCCCATGCCTGTAATATCTATGAAGATGGATTGTGAAAGCAATGGTTTTTTTCTATGTGAAATTTGGATCCTGAGGAAATGTGGCAGCAAAAAGTAGATTCATTAGAAATGTCTCTAGATCCACAACCAACATACAGTCGACCCCCCTATAACATACGTTCCTATAACGACAATTCCTATAACGTAGCGAAAAAATTGTAGAAACTTTCGTATAAAATACCTCCTATAACGTCGTTTCGCGACAAGATTGATAGAGTCTAAGTCTGGACCAATAGTGGATGAGCAGCCGAACTACTTTCCTCCGACCCTGCGCCACGCTACGGAGTGGCTAAATTGAGTTTGCTATCGTCTGTTTAGTATTATATATAAATTAGGTACTGTACATATAATTATATATTAACTTAATTTATTGTAACTTTATTATAATTATATATATGCTTTCTGCCGCCTGGCAACACGCTACGGAGATTTTAGGCTAGTAAGTTGAGTTTATTATCGTCTGTACAGTATGTAAATTAGGTACCGTAAGTCTAATACAGCACTAATTTTATACATTTCTTGTGAAAGAAACACTTCTTATTCAACGGCCATAAAAATTATTTATATTAATGATGTCTCCAAAGGTCAAGTTATTTTTCTGCGAAAAATTCGTTATCAGAAATCGCGGCCGCCGTTTCGTGTGCTGTTCCGCGACGAAGACAAGCTTTGAACAACGGGCGTAGTCGAACGGTACACACTCGGTAAGTAATCCTATAATTTTTTGTTTATAGCATAGTTTATACGGATTATTCCCAAAAAATTATACGTGTTTTGGAAATGTTGAGTGGAATTAGTCTAGAATCGGTTAATTTTATAGAAGAAAACCTTTCAAACAGCCTTAGTCCGTAAAGTTCCCACCTATCGGGCTGCGATTGGCTCATGTATTTAATCATTCCTACAATGTAATTTTCGGTTAGTGTGGAACGTATCTAAGCGTTATAGGGGGGTCTACTGTATATATACTGGAATAAATGGAATGAAAAAACAGTCAAGGAAGCAATGATAAGAGATGGAAGAATAAAGAATACTGCATGAAGGAACTGTAAGATCCGACTGTTAACATGATAGATAAAGCCTTTCATCCCATCATATTACTGGAGTCAAGCATGAATCGACGATGTAGTTTTTGAAAATTGTAAACAACTAATACAAATCTTATATGAAATATGTAAACAATCCAAATAAATTTCAAAATTGCATCATATAAATGATGCAATTTTTGTTAGGTACAAAGACATGATTATTCAAAAATATTTGAAAATAAATATTTCCATCATATTGGGAGCTAAAACTGCAATTATTTATTATAAATCATATATTCATCAGTGTGTAGAAAATTATTCAGTATAAGATATTTTGCTGTAATTGAGATTATTGCATCTATGTACTCTTGACACAGTATACATGTTTTTAGACCACACTACTCATGTTACTCATCTGCTAAGTAATATCAAATATGTTAATTTTCCTCTTAAATTTAGAAATAAATGTGCAATGAAAAATATTTATACTTATTTTAATAATGTTAAGCATTTTAGTTTTCCTTTTGACTTTCTATATCATCTATTTATCTTTTTTTAATGCTTCAACAAAGTATCATTATCTCTAGAATAACATTTATTTATCTTTTCTAATTAATATGACGTTCAGCAAAATTTATTCTCAATAGAGATGAAAAAGGACATTCAACATGTCCAAAAATGTTAGTCCTTAGGATATTCAGTTCTAGAATTTGAACTGTAACCAACATTTGAGTTCTGATTTTCGGATCTCAAATTTAAAAAAAAAAATTATTATTATTATTATTATTATTTAAACAATATTTTCAAAAATTCTATTTAGAATTTTTAGAATTTCAATAACTAGTTTAACTAGAATTTCAATAACTAATTTTTAGAATTTCAATAACTAGTGTATCCCATCCATCATCTCCAACAGTACTGGACACATTGTAGTATGTATGCTTTTTGTGTAAATATGTAGTACAGTCTACTCCCTCAAAGAACATACTAAAATATTTTATAATGCAACCTCATCTACTGCACTTGATACCTTCTACCTTCTTAGCTGATTTATAGATTTCAGTTTTTTCTAGCATGCACAAGTCATATAACCTCCACCCTTTCCCACTGCTAAGGAACCAAAAGTGAAAGTACAAAAGCCACATAGGCTGTTAGAGAGGCATGAAGAAAGGTTTAACTACATTAAAGTTCTGGTTATTGTTTCTATATGTCCTTGCAATACCCTATCAGTTGTCATCTACAGGTCTCCTGGCGGATTCCACTGGATTCTTATCAATTTGAATTGTGAAGACCTGAAGACATTAGTCTATGTTGTGAAAAAAATATTACACCTTAATAGAAAAAAAAAAAAAACAAACTTTTGCTGGAATTTAACAAAGTCCAGTTGAAAGTTAAGTGTGGTTGAAATGTGTGCATTCGATATCAATATATCAGAAAATATATTAAAAAAAGAAAAAAAGACTATTAAGTTTCTAGTTTTTTAAGATGTTTAAAATTCAAATTCTTTGAAGAAAAGTTTGAAAATTGTTTTTAAAACTATGTAGAGAAGGTTCTAATATAAAACAATGGGGAAGTTTATTAGTTGAGTTTGTGAGCTCTCGTTGCAAAGAAATTAATGTAAATATATCTTGATTTTACAAATATATAAGAATACAGTAATTAATTTTTATTTTGAATTGACATTTCTATCCTCATGCACTCTCAGTCTCATAGTGCCATATCAGGTTTTCCCGACCTCGGCCACACCCGGCGCAGATTAGTAAGTAGTTAGTAAATATGCCAAGGCGTTACTAGGGAAAATTAGTACCCAGAGTGGTTTCCCATTGCCTTCTCTGGGGCGCGATGTTACGCGAGGGGAACTCTAGTTCATGCACTCTAGTGAAAAAAAAAAAAGATATATAGAACAATTATCAAAAGTGAATTGTACACACCTACATTATCCATACTTTTGTATCATCTTATAATTTTTCCTTGAAGTGCAAAGAAAATATTCAAAACAGATTTTCAAATGAACTTTATATATATATAATTTGTTGATTCTGCAAGATGTTCTAAAACTATAAAATCTACAATATTCAATTTTGTTGCTATAAGTATTACCACGTGATTTTAATAATCTCTTAGTACTTGTAAGTTATATATAAATATCTTACCTGTAACAGACTCCTTGTGAATTTCTTGTGCAATCTAAACAGAAGACATGCTTGCAAGGAATCTGATATAATAAAATATTTTCAAAATCATATTAAAATATACAGGGAAGTGTAAGAAAAAATAAAACAGAATAAAATACCTACCATTCGTCCATACATCAGTATTGGAAGTGAACAGTTGCCACAGCAATGGATCATTGGATTAATCACTTTTTCTCCAATTAAATTTACCTTTAATAATAAATAATATCTAATTTGTCTGAAGTGTTGAATTTTTTATTAGATTTAAAATATAATTGGAAAGGTAGATTTATTTGTTATACATTACTAAATAAAATTAAATATTAACATACTCAAGAAGTTAATTTTTGAATATCACAAAATATATATGAACTATTCAGACATTTTGTAAAATATAAAAACTGAGCTACAAATTAATCATAAAATTTAAATTTTATTTCTTAAATTCTATTCCTCAAAAAGAAAAAAATACTTCTAATTTGTAAGCATAAAACCACATTTCTTAAGTGTCATTTTATTTTTTAAAACTAGACTAAATATTTTAAAATTACTGCTTTTATGAAATAGTTTAGAAACTATAACATCATACATATTTGTTTTCTGTAAATATTATACAGCTGATTCATTTCCTGTTGAAAATATATGCTTATTAATCAATGACAAATAATACAGTAGTAAGATACAAAAAAACTGATTTGAAATAATATTTTTCTCTTCAATAAACACTGTCCATAAATCCTGATAATAGTGGCAAAATAATATTCAATTATATCAGTTTTCTTTAATACTAAGTAGAAAATATTAATAATAATGGCTTGCTACTGATTGTTCTGATTTCATTGTGCGTATTGCATATTTTTAAATATTCACTGATTATGTCATGCTAGGTCATTTACTTATACTTCATCACCTTGAATTATGCTTTTGTTACAATATAAATAAAAATGAATTCTTAATGATCCTGTTATTAACACTTCAATTAGTGGAGTTGTTATTTCCTAAATTGCAGTAATTTATCTCTTTAAAGATTACAAATCTAAAATATTGGACCTCTCAATAGAAAATAAATTGATCTGTTAAAAAATATATATTTATTAAATAATGCTAATTAATCACATAAATAATAAATGCATAAGAATTAGATTTATAAGAAGTATTGGTAATTTTTAATGAATAATAAAGATATAATATGAAACCCTCAATGTGTAATAAGTAGGAATGAAAAAGTAGCAATTTTATTTTCAAACTATTTATAAATGAATTGATTGCATTTTTATCTATTGTTTATTACAAACTCCTGGAAAATTGAAAAAAGTTTTTTAAACTATTTAAAATAATTAATTAAATATTTAATTTTTAGAATTAGCCAATTGTAAATCTTAATGAATCTAAATTATAATATATAACCATAACAGTTTCTCACAGTTTTATGTCTACATAGTGCAGTTTTATGAAATTAAAATGTACTGACGAAAAAAGTATAAAATGAGAACTCTTTGATTAAGCTAATAAAGAACAAGCAAAAAACAAATATTTCCTAATGAGATCATATTCTATAATTCTTTTTTCACATGTGATATCTTGAAATTTCTATAATAAAATATCCAAATAATACTATAAATGAAGTGAGCAAATAATTATTACTTAATATTATATACAGTACTGTATTTTGTAATCTAAATTATAAATTGCATCTATCAAAAATATGATGATAAAAAATATAAATAGTAATTCTTTGATTAATGCATATCAATTAATGTGGCTACTTTTGAGGACATTAATATTTACAAGCTACTAGCATATTTTTAGCAAATGACTTGAAAGACAATTCATGCATAACTAACAAATTTGTCATCTTTGTTTATGAGTAAAATTTCTTTAAATTTGCCATATAGGAGAGTAGGTGGCTTTAAAAAATTGATTGTCATTGCCAAACAGTTTTCATAAAATATGATAAAATTTAGCCAGTTATCATCTTTTAGATTAGATTTTCATTGTAATCTGATAATATAATGATAGTATTTTAAATAATGTCAGTTTATCTAAATTTAATAATAAATTTCTAAATTCTTTATGTACTAAATAGTATTGGCCATAAAGCTACTCAGATATTTGTCAACCTTGTATTATGACTGTAGCCTCTGTTATCTGTTATCATGTGTTAGTTTTGAAAGCCTTGGTATTAATTAAATTGAATAATATAATCAATACAAATTAATTATCGTGCCATTTTTGTATGATGCATTAACCATGTTAATACACATTAATACACTTGAAGTAGGATATTAGGTCATTTTAAAACAGAGTAAAGCAAAAATAATTTTGCTTACTTTGACAATTTCATCATTTTGTTATCTATATATATATAAATGAATGTGTGTGTGTGTGTGTGTGTGTGTGTGTGTGTCTGTCTGTCCTTTATGCATTACCACACCGTTTATCCGATTGCCGTGAAACTTTGGGAAGTTGTTTAATATACTCCGGCGAAGGTTTGTGGCATAGTACGATTGCCATAAAACTTTTGGAAAGTTTTTTAATTCACTCCCACAAAGTACATTTATCCTACGATAGATGGCGCGCGTTTACACGAGCATTTGAGCATTGTGTTAGATCGATTTCAAATTGTGAAGACCATTTCTCCCCCTTCAAAAAATATCTCTATATATGCATTTGTGAACTGTTATTTACGATATTTGTAATAATTTTTGTTTAATCACTTTATTTCAACTATTTTTTGCTAATTATGTATTCGCTCGAACTTTGTTAAAACCTTAACCGTATTCCAAACAACAACCGAAGTCGTTGGAGGAAATTCGCCTATTTTACCGATCTAGGATCCCCCTTTCCCAAATTTTAATATCGACTCAAAATAATTTAAAAACACAAATTACAATAAAACGGTTTATTATCCAACTATCAGAAATTCCACAACATGCCAAGGAAGAGAGGAAGGAGCAATTAAATAATCATAATTATAAAGGATTTAAAAAAATTATATAAAAATGAGGAATATCGCACTTCTAACAATCTCTGTGTGTATGTGGGCTAAATTTAAAGAATCCGTGCTTCTCACATGTACAGTACAACTGTATGTGGCCTGTTCACGCGTCGGAAAAACTTCTGATTTATTCGTGTACGCATCAGACAGAAAAACAAAAAATATCGTGTATCCACAAGCACTCCAATAAATAAATAGAATTGAAACGACACTTTGAAATATTTTCCCAATTAAAATGAATAATAATAATAATATAATACTAAGTTTCAATAAAAATGATAAAATGTAAATTTAATTTTATCATAACGAAACTTGAATTTCGTTTCTTCTGAGATCGCAGCAATGCGCGACAGGTAAGCTAGTAATAAATATAATTTTCACTATCAACCTGAAATAGACAAACATTAAAAATATGACAAGTCTTAAAGCTCTTGATCTAAAACAATAAGACATAAAAAATTGATTCAACTTAATACAGTCAAAACTCAATTATAACAAACATGGATATAATGAGCAAAATGGCATAATTTTAATTCACACATATTTCCATAAATTTGCTCATGGTTATAGTTATAATGAGTGTACTTCACAGATATATTGAGCAAATTTTTGGTAGCTATGCAGACATATAAACATTCTTAATTGTTCATGTAGTAAGAAATGCTGTACTGAATTCTTGGAATAGATAGTAACCCTTTCAGTTTCAAGTTTTATGACCTGCATGTATTAATCACTTTCTTTTTGGAGACCATCCCTCTGTTTGTTGACTAGCTTCCTGCATTGCCAATTTACCTAATTATCACAATAGTAAAATTACCAATTACTGTAGTTAGAAATAAAAATGTCTCAATGATGATTTCTCAAAAATGAAAAAAGAAAATGTCTCAGTTTATGAAAATGTATAAATTATTCATGAGTTAGAATGTGGTACTGAAAATATCAGTGTGTAGAAAGTTTTTGTTTTCTTTGACAGTATCAACATTATTGAAAAATAAAGATGATTATCTGGTGGTGAAGAGAATAATATAACCAAAACAAAAAAAATTTAGAAAGTGCAAGCATGCAAACATAGATGAAAGATTAATGGTTTACTAACACTTCAGAGGCAAACATGTAAGAGGCCTCTTATGGGCAACAAATTTTGTAAGAGGCATCCTATGATTGCCTCTTATATGTTTGTGCCCAGAACAGCTGCCTATTCTCCCCCTAATTATGTCACTGCTCTTCATGGATATAATGAGTAATGGTTATAGCAAGGAATGCTGCTGTAACCATTACCACTAATGCTTGTTATAACAGAGTTTGACTGTATTTGATTTATTACTCTCCTTTATAATTTGACTAGCAGGATTTCTGTATGGTTTACACTGTTTATACATTAGATGTTTCACTATTTCAATCATGTTGATCATCAGCAAACTTCAAGTAAAAATTGTTTATAATAATTTTAAGTTAATCCTGGAGCAATGAAAATAGATTCATAACATTTATATGAATTATTTCACTTCAATATCATTTTCAATTTAATAGTATTCCCTCTTAAAGAGGAATACTATTAAAAAATAAATTTTGTATTGTAAGCTATATTTTAAATCCAACATAATTTTTGCATTCTGTAATAAAAAAAAAAAAAAATATTTCTCAATAACTATAAAATGAAATTACATTATTTTATTGTTATTAGAGTAAATTTAACATCATCATTATCAATAATATGTAAACCTGAAATTATGACCTTTAATGTGAATGTCATTAAAAATTTATGTATAAATTTTTGAAATAATATTCAGACAACTGAATTAATTCAATAAACCAGATAACTACTACCATATTACATTTGGGCTAAAATATAGCTAACGAGCTGTTACCTGCGATTTTGCCCATGCAGATTTTGCAAGCAAATCCCATTTATATTCAGTATTTCAACCACCATAGTAATTGTTATATAACACTTATTGCTGAGAATGATGAGAATTGCTGAGAATCAAACGAACTGTTTTCAATTTGATCAATTTTCTGTAACATTTACAATCGTTCTATAATCAAACCAACAAGCAATAACAAATTTGAATTTAAAACGGTTTGAACATTTGGTTAAAAAATCTAAATATATAAAAATATTTATAACAATGTATAAATGCTTCCATCCAGTTATCAAATGTTATCAATTTAATACACCTAAATACTCAATGAAGACTAAATGTAGTTGAAAACAAAAAATCACATCTAAAATAGTACAGTAGAAGTCATTCTTCAGGTTAAGCCTTAATCCTCTCCTTCTCTCCTGTGGGGGAATTTCCAAAAATCCCTTCTTACTGTGTGTTTTCATGACATACTGTGTACCAAATTTCACCTCTTTAGGTTCAGTGGTTTGCTCTGGGTGATGATGAATCAATCAGTCAGTCAGTCAGGACAAGTAATTTTATATACAGTGGTGCCTCGTATAACGTGCATCTCGAATAACGGACGCTGCAAACAACAGACTTTCTGTTTGGCCATTACGTGACTGGAGCAATGGACTGGCTGCAAACAACAGACTTTCCGTCCGGCAGTTACATGAACAATGGATTTTCTGTGAACAAGTGCGAATGGTGTTTCCACTCTTTTGCCGTTGCCAATGACAATCTGCTATTTTTATAATATATTAGTATTATTAGAATATATTATTAGTACATCTGAAGTACAAAGCCCCCGTTGGGATTTGGCTTGCTCCCTTGTTTATTACATACATCACCTCAGTGCAGGGTATTTACATTTATTCAAGTTGTGCAAATCATGGCTTCTAAAAAAAACAGAAAGGTGATTTCAATTGAAACAAAGTAAGACATCATCAGAAGGAGTGAAAGTTGACAAAAACTTCTTTGTCAAATGGGGAGAGGTTAAGGAGTTTATCAACACTCATTATCCAGAGCTGAGCCCAACAGGATCAATGATCTCTACAATGACACCCTTGCCCATCATTTCCGACAGGTGTTGAAGAAGAGAGAGAAACAGACCACCTTGGACATGTTTTTCAAGAAGCCAACTGCCAAAAAGCAAAGAATGGAACAAGAGGAGTTGACTCTGCAAGCCCCGATAGCCTCTCCTGAATCTGACTCCAATTAAAAAACAATAAAAAGAAACCTGCTGCAATGTGTAAAAAGTCTGTATCTGTATGAATGTGTAAAGAAAATGTTTCTCCAACTCCTCCTCACAACATCTGACTACCTGGCAAAATTGGTGACTGCTCCATTTTCATTTTTTTATGGTACAGTACGGTTATTTTATGCTGTGAAACTAATTATATGTTTTAACATGTATTTCTATGGGAAAATGCATTTCGTATAACGAACTTTTCACTTAATAATGGATTAAGTATGTTATACAAGGCACCACTGTATTTAGATAATGATTAAGAAAAGTAATTTGGTCAAAAGATTAACATAAAATAGCAGCCTAACTTAAACAGTTATTAAGCAATTTAAACTTATTTCTGTTTATTAACTTAAACAGTCAATAAATCAGAAATTTAGATTCCTTTAAATAGATTAATTAACATAATTGTCAGTGTCTTAAATTTAACACAAGATGGTAACCTAACCATCTACATTTTGATCAATTATTTTAATAATTAATTAGCCTTATTATTTTCCAAATCCTACAGGAGATATTACTTCAAAAAATGAAAACTATTATACTTAACATCAGATAATAATATCTGTAAATGCTTCCATCCAGTACAAAATATAAAAGAATTAGTAACATTGTCAATTCATGTCTTCATTTTGAAAGAAAAATTTTTTTCACAAAATCAACACAGATAATATCCTATAGATAGAAATTTTCAAGTCAAGTATGATAGACTACTTTCTGTGAGAAAGTACAGTTTGAAGAATTGAGAAGAGTAGAAATTCCATTGTTAGTGAAGAATAGGTTTTCAACAGAATTTACTTAAGATACAATCATGCCAAATAACTAATAAATATCCAATAATATAAAAAGATGAAATAAAAATACTTATGCAAGTTATAAAAATAAACTAAAAATTTCTGAATGAATGAATGGTTAAAATATATAACAAAATATTTCTAACCATATGAATATAATGAATAATTCTAATTCTAATAAAAGAAAGTTGAAAACAACTTTTAGATTTCTTTGAGACAATCATTACTACACTTTCATGTTTCACATTTAGCATTGCAGATTGTAAAGTTTAAATATGTGTGTGTGACAGCCAAGGCAGATAGAGTCAGCCTGCTGTGACCTGGGATCAAATCCAGTATGTTTTGGAGATGATCTGTTCTAGATAAATCAGGCCCATCCCTTACGTCTGGATATTCCAATTACAGGCCTGACTGAACCAAAGATAAGTATGGAAAAAAGTCCTTAATGTCCGTGTGGCAAAAAAAGTCAACAAAAAGGTCTAAGTAACATACCGTACCTTTCAAAATTTACTCTTACAATATAAATAGAAAATCATATACACTATTGAGCTTTTAGTTATTCAGTAAAAATGAAGAAAGCAATTCTATTTCTTTTAATGATTCAAATCCAGAAATTAGTTTTGCTCTCCTTATGATTCTAAAAATCAGGTTAAGAAATAAATATGCTTAACTTTATGCTAAATTCAACTTTGATATTATCTACTTTCAGTTTTAAATATTTAAAATTCTGTGCTCATTTTTTACCTGGAGTAGAATATGATAAAATGAAATATTCACATATTTTTAAAGAATTGACATCTATAATTTATACGATTTTCTGAATAACAAATTACATGTAGGCCTATATAAAATTTAACATACACCAACCAGAATTCTAAAACATTTTATCTTAGAAAATTTTATTCTGTTCACATAATCATTTGATTTTTTTGTTTGAATCAGATATGAAAACTGAAGATGAGAATTAGCTTTAACTTTCATATATTTTTTATAACAACAAATTCTAGACTTGATTTATAATGATTAAAATTTTATGCTTTGATAACAATTAATTAAAAGAGAGAAGAAAATTCTGAATAAATTTGTCTGCATATTCAAAACAAGAAACAAATTTTTAAATTCTGAAAGTAAACTGATAGGTATGTGCATTTGCATGGTTACTCTGAAAATTATTTATACAGATAAATACAATCTTCAATTGTTATACATTTTTTTCAAAATTTAACTCGTCATTAAATGCAGTGAAATGTGAAAATATGATCAGAGTATAAGCAGAATAATTATTAAAATTGAAAAAATTGTGAGGAAAAGTTTTAATAATTCTTACTCTATGATCCCATCTGAGTTTTTTGTTCTTGTGAAGAGGTTCAGGTAAACCACGTTCCAGTGTTGTGAATGTTGGAGTTTCCAATTTTGAAATATCTTCTTCAATGTCAACTATAAAAAATTTTTTTATTTTTTATATTTTAATCATGATTAATAAATTATATNTCAACCTGCAACATGATTAATTTTTGTTTCTGAAGTGTTGCATAGAGAATCGTACTGTTTACGTCAGTGCTGTGTACGTTAGGCTATGTATGTATTGTAACCTTCGATACTTTGCGCTATATATTATTTCTTAATAAAGTTAAGCGGTTGATCGCGAATATGCGTTACTTAATTTTGGGGTGGGTATGTGCGATAACGTTATGGAGTGTTATAAAGGGTAAAATAGTAAAAAATTAAAAATATAGTTACGTAATTTATGGACGATTCCCTACAGAAGTAAAATCAAATATTACTTTTGAAAATTTAGTCAAAATAGTATGAGACACTTTGAATCTATAAAAATGTATGAAAATATTTAATGATTGGACATAATCTACCGTGGTTACGTTTACACTATTCGAGTACCTCAAAAAATAAAACGAAAAGAAAAACTGTAACATTCGATACAATAGCCTTAACATATGACAATTTGAAATTGTAAAAAAATATTTTTTTATCATATTATAGTGTCTCATCCATTTTGTTTTCGTTAAAACCAATAGTCCCATTTAAGTGCTAATATTTTTTGAAGCACTGAACATTTATGGTTACATTCATTGTTACATTTGCTGTACCGCAATGGGTATGTTTAAGAAAAATAAATATTTCTTATTATCTAAATCACACTTATCGAGTTGAAATGATCGCCGTAAGCCAAAATTTCATAGATATTTTTATATCTCAATGTTAAGCTATCACTTTATTATTATTTTTTCTTTGCCTCGTAGAAATTGTTATGATGTTTATGAAGTATGCTTTTATATAAAATAACTTTAAATATATAGTACATATACAGGGTGTTGCAAAAAAAGTGTTCTTCCTAGAAATGGGTAATAGAACTCATTGAGATAAGCATGAAATGTAGAGTAACAAATTCACAATAGTTACCAAAATATTTGAGGTTAAAGCTTCACCAAATAATGCTAGAATGGGCTGCCATTACAGACACACTGACTGAAAATGGAAGGACAAATTGAAAAGCAATCGCAAAAAGCTTATCATTGCAGTTACTTTTTTCTCTCCATGAAACACATACTAAAATAACCTGGAGACATCTTTTTATTGAATGACAAAACAAAGTGGATACTACTGCAATTTTTTCATGTTAAAATGCTGTTCAATTCAATAAATGGCTATCCTTAAAATGATAGTTTAAATAGCAATAACTATAGCATAATTCCTGAAAATAGTGGGTTCAAATTTGCAACTTAAAACTTGAATATTTTATCATGAATTTGCAAATATGTCATTCTACATTTTTTGCTTATCTCAATGAGTTCTATCATCCATTTCCATGAAGGATACATTGTTTTTTGCAACACCCTGTATATTTAATTATTCTTACAACTGATTTACTGCTTCATTAAAAAATGATTTAAAGAAAACTGTAGTATTTAATTTATATAAGATAAAAATATGGAAAATGTAAAACAGTTTTATTTGAAATTATCATACCTGTCTTTGAAAGAATATATTAGTTTTAACTTTCAAATACTGTGTTCAAATTTACAAATTTTGATCATCAGAAAATTTAGATATTTTTAAATTGCAAAATTCTTCACACCACATTCTAAAATAAAAATCCAGACTGCATTTTCAGGTAGTCAAAAGTTTTATTATATGTAAAAATGTTTTTGGCCTTTTTAGGCCAGCTTTAGTTACAGAACATTTTTGCAATGAAACAATGAATGTTATAGTATCAAACAATAGTTTAAATTATAACAATATAATTAACAATATAAATATTAAAATGCCTTCTTCACAGAAAACATGTAGTGCAATAAATACACATGATTTACAATATTTTATTGGGTTGAATCATAAGTAATGCTGTTTTTTTCTAAGTATTGTTTTCATGCTTATAGCATAAGTTGTGTTAATGTAACATATCAATCAGCTCAAATGCTAATTTTTCAATTTCTTAGCAGTTTAATAATGATTTGCATAACAATTTTGAATGTTTTTAAAAAAGTCAAATTATTAGTGTCACTCAAAATGAACTTCTCAGAACTTTTATGGCATGTAATGTTTTATGAATTTAAAAAAGACAACATTACAGTTACAACAACAAATAATGTATGTCATATGTATGGAAGTAAAGCCTAAAATGTCAGCATCAATTCAAAAAATTTAATATGAGGTTTTCGGTCGTGAAAGATGAGACTTGCTCTGGATCTTCTAGTTTAGAAAATGCTGAAATTGATGAAGTAGTAGAAGCTAACCCAATCTATCCAGACAAGAAATTGCAGAAAAATTTGGGAGTGTTTCAATCAACAGTAGTTAAATAGTTAAAAGTAAAAAAGATAAACAAGCATGGAACATGGTTTACACATAATCTTACCAAGCAAAATCATCTGGATTATGTTTCACTTCTTAATAGACAAGAACATACCTCATTTCTGGACAGAATAGTAACCAGGGATGAGAAGTGGGTATTATATACTAATGTCATTTGTAAAAGAGTGGTTCAGTCTAAAGGCTACTCCAGCTCCAGAACCAAAGTTTGGTTTTCATCTTCGAAAGTTCTTACTATGTGTCTGATGGGATATGAGGGAATACTAAATTGAGTTGTTGAATCCAAATGAAACAATAAATTCTAATTTATATTGTCAGCAACTATTTCAATTCAACAACTTAATGAAAAACTCGAAGAAATATTGATAAATCCATATTTGACAAACAGAAATTATTATTATTTTGTTACATAATAATGCTTGACCCTGTGTTGCAATAGTCATCCAAAAAAAATTGAGAGTTTAATGGAAAGTTCTTCCTTATTTGCCTTACAGTCCTGATCTGGCTTCTACAAATACCATCTCTTTTGATCCCTTCAAAACAATTTTAATGAAAAAGGTTTTAAGTCTAAAAGAAGTTTTCCAGATGAACATAGAAACATGTTTTGGGAATCAAAATCTGATGATTTTTATACAAAAGGCACCAGACAACTTAAAAATAGATGAAAAAATATATGTAACAAAGGGAATTTTATATTGGATAAATTAATATATTTTTTTAATGTAAGTAAGGTCTACTAAAACTTATTTAAAAAAATTATTACTTATGACTTAACTAATATTTATTGTAATAAAGTTCATTACATTTGCTAATTTTATTAAAATGCTATTTAACATTAATCTGAATTTAGTTATTTGTAAATGCAGATATTAGAATAAATTTTTTAACTTAAATTAATCATTTCTTTCATTACAATAATTAAAACTACAAATTACAAAATACAATAATTAGTGAGATTGCAGCAGACGTTTTCAATGTGAACACGTATATGTATGTCGGACATTCAGCGCTGCCTTCCTGTAAGCCTAGAAGTTTGACAATGGCATTTGGAACGTCAGTGGAATCATGCTCAATGTTCCAAATGCCATTGTCAAACTTCTAGGCTTACAGGAAGGCAGTGCTGAATGTCCAACATACATACACATGTTCACATTGAAAATGTCTGCTGCAACCTATCTATTAATTACAATATATACTGTATGTCTTAATTTAATAAATATATTTTATTTCTTTTATAATTACTCTAAAAGTGACTGACAATTTTTTCTCTTTCTGTTACACACACCAGACACATACACAGTCATTTCTATATTAAAATAATATCATTATTATAAATTATGCTACATTTAGTTAAAACATCTTACACTTTTTATCTGTAGATTCTTCTGTTTGATCTTCTTCTCCATCATCATCTTCAAATCTAGAATTACCCGTTGAATGGGAAGTAGCTTTTTTACTAGGAGTTTTTCGTGCTCGCACACTTCTTCGTCCAATTTTACGTCCTCTTGCTTTCCCTTTTAGCTTGAGGGAAATATTTTTACGCACAGTCGGAGTTTGTGCCGAACCAGTGTTGCTTTCTGAATCTAATTCTAAATCATCTGAAATATTAGCAAAATTTGAATAAGTATTTCATTCTCACAGTAAAATTATTTATGATTAAAATATTTAAATTATAAAAATAATTTTTCACACAACAATTTTTGACATCCTCTATTTTACAAATTAAAAATTGAAATTTCTTATTTATATAATTTTCATATATTTTCTATTGTAGAAGATATGTTTGCATGTAAAAACAGTTCTGTTTTATAAAGAAAAAAATGTTTGCAAAGGGAAAAATATACATACATATAAATTAGATTTTAAAAAAATATCTACTCAATTAATAAATCACTGCTGTAATAATACATCATAAAGAAATTTTCAATATCAATTAATAAAAATTAATAAATAATAAGCTACAAAATTAGTCCAATACAAAATTTTATCCTTCCTCTAACAATATACAATACTTAAGAGTAGCATAATAAGTACTTCATTTATTTATTATATAAAATGTGATAAATATATTACTGTTTTGATTTATATTAATTATATGTGATTAAAACTTTATATATTAAACTACATATATATTTTATCAACTACAAATGCATGAGTTTTTTATTTTTTGAATTCTGAAGTGATAGATTTATTATAAAAAAATCTAAAATAAATAAGTAATGAAAAGTGATTTTCAAACTATTAAAAAAGATGAGAGAAGAAAATTTTTATTATTTTCATCTTTAATGTAAGTAATTATTAGTTAATTAATATTTCTTATATTGATTTGTTTTTATAGAAATACAGTATAGTAAATAATCAGAAATGTCAAATAAAGTTTAATATAGATTGATTCATGGTTTCAAGGACAGATATTTTTTAAAGAACTTTTTTTGTACAAATGCCAACTTTCTGCTTAGCTGGTCATCTTTTACCTATAACTTATATACTTAGTTTATTTATTGGTTTTTTAAAAATTTCAAATGAAAATAAAGAAATTTAAAATAAATAATGAAAATAATGAAATGAAAATAGAAATTCATTCAATAAAAAAGAAATCTTACATAGAAAATATTTAACTAAAATTTTCTTAAAAAATAACAAGTTATACACTATTATAAATTTAGAAACAATAAAATTAACAATAAAATTTACCTGCAAAGCCGAAGTCAAATCTGATAGTCTACACTGCCTATGTTTTATACATTTAAGAAAAAAAAAAGTTGCTGTAGTATCTTATTCTACTATCTTTCCATCGGAAATAAATCTCAGTTATTCTTTCATTCTATATATCTATATTTTGAGGAGATATGTCACACCATATAGCCTTTTGTTATAAAAAATTGCTCTCTCTGATGTTGTCGATAACATATTTAATTTTTTTATTTTATAAGAAATAAAAAACAATTAAGTAAATTCTGCATTGTAAAGTTAGTAGTTGCATAATATTTCAAATATAATAAAATAAAAATTCTCATATTGTTTCATAAAATTATAAATGCACAAACTTATTACTAAACTATTATATTTCTAAAAGTAAATCTAAAAAACCTTAATTTATTAATATAATTTTAAATAGAACAATATAAAAACAACAAATAATTCTTGATTCACAGCTATATCTGATAATTTTCTGCATGACAGTAAGAATTTTTTGATTATATTATTATTATTATTATTATTGATAATAAGAAATATAAAAATTATAATAAATTGTTTATTTAATTTAAAAATATGTATTAATTGTATGAATTTTTCAAAACGTATAGTCTGTATTCATTTTTTATAACAAAATTTTTCTAATCGTGTTTGAATTTTGATCTTATGAATAGATAAAAAATATGATTAATCTTATTATTTAATTTTATATTTTGTATTAATTTTTAAATGCAAAAATATTATGTCATCATAAAATGAAAATATAAGGCCTAATCTATTACATTTTTAGAACTGATTAGTTAAATAATATTATTATTTTTATAAAAATAAAATTAGCTTCTAATGAATAAAAATTAATTGCTATTCAATTAGCTTGCACAAACATTTAATTTTCTTCCACGTATAAAGACTCCAAAATTTTGTTTAAATTTTCTAATTTAAATAATAATTTACTGATAAACATTTATACACACCTATTGTTTAAGTGCTAAATGTGAAACTTTCTATAATAATAAATTATATATATCAAGTTACAGGTATCCCTTGTTAACTGTGGTCTTGAATTAATATGATTTTTAGCAAGAACAATTTAATGAAAGAATATAAGAGTTCTTTACAAAATTGTATTATTATTTAATATTTTGATAATCAAACATTTATTTAAGAATTTTAAAATAAAACAGAAATTAATATTGTGTTTACATAATTAGAAAATTATAATTAAAAAGATAATAATTCAATTTTCGGCAATTATCACTATTACCAATGGCATACAACTATCATTTTTGTAGCATCAATCCAGTCACCAAACAGCTTGATCTTTAAATGTAAACTAAATGTGATTTAAAAGTGAATAAAATGTAAACTTTAAATAAGAATTGGAAGCATTGTCAAAATCGTGTAGAGAAATTCAAAAAAACTTGAAAATGATTCGGTCTTTGATTCCTAGCTTAGTAAAATGAACAAATGGAATGGTAAAGTATATGAGAAAACATCTTCAAATTCCAGCAAAACTATAATTTAAATTGAAAAGTTTTGTCAAAAAATTGATTAAAATTAAATTATATTAGTTTTGCTGGAATTTAAAAGTGATTTTTCTTATAGATTCTAAGCTCTTTAAGAGGAGTTGTGAATTTCAACTAGTGTAAAATTATTGAAAAATTTTTCATTTCTGATGTTTTAAAGAATATTTGTTATATTGTTATATTTTTTACATAAGTTTAATTAAATTTAATTTTATATTACACAACATTTATTTAAATATTATGGTTATCCTTCTTTCCCTAACCACTTATTTATATTTCTGCAGCTTTTGATTTTATGAACAAAGCTATAATTTTGGAATACAGCTCTTGTTGTTACATGGGATGCCTTTATTATTATCCATACAGAAAATACTGGATTGGCAATTCAGTTTTTATTTATTATATAGGTTATTTAATTTGTATGTATGTATAAAAAGAAACACATCGGTAATTTTTGTTTTTCCTAATATTTTCAACCCATAACTTGTATTGTTAACATTTTCAATCTTCAATTCAATTAACTTTTTTTAAAATTCGAATATATCGAATAAACTATGCAATCATACCACATGTTATTACAAAAGTAGAATATACACTTAGTTATTTTGTATGTAAATGTAAAAATATTTGACTGGTAAAAATTACTTATAACTAATCTAATTATAAACATCTTGATTAGTAAAATATAAAAACAATAAATAAAATTTCCTAATTTTAATTATACATAAAAGCAAATGAAATTTATGGGCACTTATTAATTTAGCAAAAAAATTACAAAATAAATAATAACATGATAATGGATTAACTGTGAAACTATCAAAACGATGGAAAAATAAACGAAATCCATCAATTTTAAGTCGGGCTATATAACATCGGAAATAAGCTATTTTCTTTAAAGTGAATCTTCAAAAATTATTATAAATTTAATAGTTAATTGCTTAACTATTAGAATTTAACGAATTGTTTTAAGAAAACTTTGAATTTTGATACGATTTCCATAGAAACAATGCACTCCACCGAAAACTGCGGTTTGCGTAGAGCTACAGACGTAGACATTATTATATTATTAAATTTTTAATTAAAAAGAATGTTAGAATATTAAATATTTAAATTTTTATACTCTGTATATTATTGTATAATATATTGTATATATATTAATATACTTGAACTATATATAAGTAAGCAGATAGCAATAAAACACAGACAAATATTGTTAACACTTCTACATCTTCTGCTCGGACTTTTCACCAGCAAAATAGCAGAAAATGGTGTTACAATATTCACATTTAAGTAACTACAATTACAACAATATAATAAATAAATTGAACAGTTACAATATATTATTCAGGCAACTTACAACACATTAATTTGATAAATTATAATATCACAATTACTACATTATTATTATTATCCTTATATATGTATAAAATATAAATCAGATTTCATGTTTGTAATTTAGCTTAAATTTTAAAGCTGATGTAAACACTGACTTACAAAATCCTCCAAATATTTAAAAAAAAATATCATTAAAACTATTTAACATACACTTTTCCTATTGACTAATCTACATACAGACATACAGACTAATTTTTTTTTCCTATTAACTGCTTATTGTTATCATCATTAAGGAAGATACTATAGTGTAATAATGGATATTTACTGCGTATTATAACATTTAATACGCTTCTGCTTAGCTGCGAAACAAATTATGATAAAAATCGAGAGGAAGAAATGAAAAAAACTACAATTTTCTAACAAAAATCTAACCTGAATCCGCCATCTTGATCGAATCGGGATATTTTCTAGTGACATCTCTCTTCACATTGGAAGAAATTTTAAATCAATTACCGTTATAAATTCAATTTATAAATTTCTGCGTATAATATTTAGAATTTAAAATTCGTCGTTAAACTATTTTAACTATAAAGTAAAAAAAAAAAAAATTGTTTAATGTGTAATCGAGATGAGCGATAAATAGCGCTAAAAGGCGCCATTTATAATTCCGTATTTTAAATTAAAAACTGTGTGTTTTTCTTTTTTACGGTTTAAACGGAAGTGTTTCTTCTCTTGTAAATTAAAAAAAAATCGCTACGGGAAAACAGTAATTTCCTATGTAAAATATAACGGAGTAACGGAAATAAATAAATAATTTAAAGATGTTGAAAAATCCCGACAGTGTGAAAATCCTTTACGTGTGTTATTATTGTATGTGTTTTCCAATAATCTTACTTGCAATTATCAGAATTATGAAAATTAATATATAATATATATTAATTTTGTATTCTGCATAAGTAAATGTATACATTATATTATCAAAAGTATTCTGGACAACTGCTTAGTAGAAATCTGTGCTAATCTTTTGTTTGTTTGTTTGTTTAGTTATGGTAACGCAACAGTTGGGCGATCTGTCTAGGGGGATGCCTTCCGGGAGGTCTATTTAGGCGTTACAGACGTGAAGAAAACCCGGAAAACTCCACGTGGCCAGCCCGTTCGAGCGAGGCGCGAACTCACTACCGAACTCCCAGTGTTTAGGGAACGAAGACCGCTTGGCCACTGATGGACCGCCAATCTTTTGCTGTGCCTATCAGTGGCCAAGTAGATTAAAACCACTGAACACTGGTAGTTGGTTCGCCTTGTCAACGGGTTGGCCACTTGGAGTTTTTCGGGTTTCTTGTGTTAGTAATACCTAAATAGGGGTCAGTTTTCCATAAAAAGTCATTCCGGAAGACATCGTCGATGTGTTACGTTGCCGTAAACAAATCATCTTTTTCTGAGACTTTACTAGTCTTAGAAAACATGTTTTCATCTTGATTGTTTACAATTTCTCTATGAGAATATTAGTGAAGTTAGGCGAATTGTCTGGTGCTTAACGGTGTTCCAATTCATTTCAAAGATGTTCAATGGGATTCAGACCAGGACTCTGTAAAAGTCATTTACTTAGTTCTTCCATATTTATCTCATAAACCATTATTTTAAAGATCTCGTTTTTTGGTTAAAAACGAAGGAAAGCGCCTACTTCAAAGTGTTCCCACAAAGAAAGAAGCATAGAATTATCCACAATGTAAGTGTAAACAACAGTAGCACTAAAAGTTTTCTTCGTAGGAAGGACGTGGTCTTTTTTAAAACTCTACTCTGTAGACACTGAAAACCTTTTTGAACAAGCCCATCACGGGCCTGTCTAGGTTCACAATGGGGGCAGCCGAGTGATGGATGGTGTTCAATATACAGTATTCTGGACAGACCATCTCCCGAAAAATTCCTGAAGTTTTTCGACCCGTCTGGATTAGTTTTCAGGTCCCCAGAGCAGTAGTCTTAACCTCGGCCGTTTGAGCGGCTCGATCAGAGTTGAAACAAAAGCATAAGTGTGTTCTGGAATCCGCATGCCAGGCCGAGTTGATTCCCCAGGAAATTGCACAAGTGATTTTATCTAGAAGTATTGACTTCTGTTCTATAGTACTCGGTAATGTTGCCATCTTTTCAAAATCGCTGACCCGGACGGCAGGTGAGGTTTGTTCGAACAGAAGTTCCTGATGCATGCGCAATGTCATTTTGCAATGCGTAGAATAACGTGCTAAATCAGTTACAGTTAGGGACTAGGGAAACTTGGGTAGGAGTAACGTAAGTAACCTAAATTAAGAAAGAAGTACAGATGACTTAGCTCTATTGGAGTTTGGAGACGTGTACCAATCGTACAAGCAGGAAAAAAACCCGACAGGTTGAGCACGAAATTCTCGGACAGAATTGATAGTTCACCCGGACAGTGAGTCAATTTCCGGACTGTCCGGGTGAAAACCGGACGGGTAGTAACACTAGTACTCGGTTGTCTCATTTTTGGCCTGGTTGAATCCATATTAGACATGCAAATAAATCCTCTTAGTGCACAAGACGTTATGTTTACGGATGTTCTCATTCATGAGGATTCTACTTTTTCTCCTTTTGGAGTAATTCCTGCATGAGGAGGATGGTGCATATAAAGGGAACGGAGTTTCCTTTATGTGAACCATTTCGTTAAAGTATAATATGCACATTGGCATAGCCAGAGTTTTATTATGGGAGGCCTAGTAGAAACCAGCCTGACACAAAATTGAATTATTTCAAATTATTGTTCATTAAAATGAAATTCCATAGGAATCGACAATAATTTAACACACATATAATATGAAACTTCCTTTAATCATACGTTCTCGTAACATTAATATCAAACTCTAGCAATGCTTTAATCAAAAATTAACCAATCAATTATTTTTTTTACCATTCTTTAATATAGTTTACCGTCTTTATTAATTAATCTAGATCTAGACCAGGGGTGGCCAACAGTTTTTCCCCCCGGGCCGAATTGGAAAGAAAACTTTTTTCACTAGCCGAACCAAAGGCGGCCCTAGCAAGATTTTCAAGTGATGCGAGATCTTATTGTGGCGTCACTCCCTAGAGACTAAACTGTACACAGAGATTACAGATACACTTTACACATTGGGCACAGAAAGCCGTTGACCTTTTTTTTAGGGGTCAGAATTTCTCAACTTTTCTATTACTTCACATTGTGAGGATATAGGGAATTATCGCGGATCCATTCGAGCAATTATTTGAAGTTAAGTCCAATATTCAAAGATTAATCGCGGATCGCATAAATTCATTAAGCGGGCCGTATGTTGGCTATGCCTGATCTAGACTTTCAGTGGGTACACTACACCCAATTAAATTATCTTCAGCTTTTTATTTCCTTTTGCAAATCGGCTCAACACTTTTTGGTTGTAATTTTCTGGGGAGGGGCACCAGGTTAACTGGGGGCGTGCCCATCCATGCCCCTTCCTGGCTACGCCCATGAATATGCATTCACTGAAAATGTAAGCTACTTCACATGCATTTCACAAATCAGATAATTATTGGTTTCCTCATGATGTAATGATTATTTCATTTAAACTCCTAATGAAGTTCTTTAAAAGATAAACTCTAACTCAAACGCATTAGTTTCTTGACAGAGTTAAAGGCAACTTCGTATATAAATAACTGTAATAAAAAACAGACAAAAAATTTATACTCTGCGCTAATCAGCGCAGAATTCCTAAAAAAGCACAATAGGACAAGGCCTAAAGCTGCAGATTTTGAGGGACAGTAAAATTGATGGGCATAATATAAGAATTTCAGAAAAAAGTAAATAGAGGAAATCGTTAATTCGAAATTCAAGAGACGAAATAATCGTGACTTCGAATTATCCGAGATATACATACAGTGGAACCCCGGTTAACGAACTTAATCCGTTCCACGACTCCGTTCGTTAACTGAATTGTTCGTTAACTGAAGCAATTTTTCCCATAGAAATTAATGCAAATGCAATTAATCCGTTCTAGTCTCCGAAATTTTTGTCATTTTATTTGTAATATACAGTAATTTTCTTTGATGAAAATGTAGGAAAACGTAGTATCTATCATTACAGCAACAAACATGTAAACTTTGTTTAATAAAATAGCACTGTAATAAACTACAACATACCTTCGTTTGTTGTAGTTGGTGGCAGAAAAGTGGAGATATACGAACCTTAATGCTTAGAAGGGAAATCCCCTCCAAAAAAATAACGGGTAGCACTTCATCGGAAGATTCTTCGAGTCGAAGTCTCTTTCGGTAAAAAAAACCCACCAGTGGCTAAGTGGTCTTCGTACCTTGAACACGGGGAGTTCGTTCGTGGGTTCGCACCTCGCTCAGACGGGCTGGCCACGTGGAGTTTTCCGGGATTTCTCCACGTCTGTAACGCCTAAATAGGGGCCAGTTTCCCTTAAAAACACCTCCCAGAAGGCATTCCCCCTAGGCAGATCGCCCAAGTGTTGCGTTGCCATAACTTAACAAACAAACAAACTCTTTCCGTAAGGAACAAGAAATTGATCTAAAGTTGATTGTCTTACTCTTTTAATCAAAATTTTTCTCAAATGCGATAGCGCATTGTCGTTTATATTGCGTTGTCGTTTTCTATTGCCACTATGACTTTTTTCTTTCTTGGATGCCATATTGATTAAATATATAAATCACAAAACTGAAAAAAGAAGCATAGCACAAACACTCGGAAAAGCAATGCTTAACTCGCGCATGCCTAACATCAACTAAAATTTGACACAAAATACCGTTACGTTCGTTATCCGAATTTTGTTCGTTATCCGAGACAAAATTTTTGCAAAATAAAACTTCGTTAACCGATTTGGTCGTTAACCGGGGTTCCACTGTATTTATGTACTGTACAATATGCCAAATGCCACGTAACTGATATAATTTATTAAGCAAACGGAATACGAAGACGTATTCAGAATGCTATTTTCGTTAATTAATAATTAATATTAATATAAATAAACACAAGTTGCCAGTTAGGTTTTATAAAGCGTTGAGCAGAATTCCTCGAATTGTATAGCTCGAATTATTTTTAAAGTTGCCCAAAATGCAGTAACTCGTCCAAACTTCAACTCGTGTAGTAGCATAGATCCCTACAAATATCTCAATGTGCTACTTGTAGTCCAACCTTGCAATCCCGAAATCCAGCCATATTTTAGAGATACGAGAAAAAAAGCGTACTCCATGAGTAAGATGACATCCGAAAATGTATTACTGTAAAAGCAAAGCCATATTGCCCAGATTAGAGTTTTTCTTAGTCTATTGTTCTTTTATAGTATGGAAGTACTGTACCTTGATCTAAAGATTCTAAACGAACGAGTTAACACGGCAAGTGGCTGCAGATATCACGTGACTTTGACGTCACTGACATGTCGTGACGCCATTAAGAAGCACTTAATGGCATTACTCGTATATCACTGTGATTAAAAAGTATCGGGAATAGATCATTTAAACTATGCGCGTGCAAGAGGGCATGAGCGGAATGCAAAATCCAATTCCGCAATCTCCGTATTCACCTGATATAGCACC